AATGGGTTATAAATATAACTGACGTATGAATACAATTTGAATTGGTTATTGAACACGTCTCTGCTATTCATTTCCAATTTCCAGAGCTCTGTATGAGTTGGCAAATATCCATCATCCACAAAGGGCCCAGGCTGATTTTATCCCCAACAAATTGGTGTCAGAAGTTTTTTGGGAGCAATTGGGAACGGATTAGCAGGTAAGGGGGTCTTTAGCCCCTTGGGGACACAACTTCTGGAATTTAAGGGTATCATGACGGAGTATTTCTGTCGTGTGTCCTTAAGGGGTTGGGGACCTTTGCCTGCTTCTGCCATCCTCTCACACATTGCATTTCTTGTTTTAATGGGGTTTTTCACTATTTACATTTTTAAAGGGGATTTTCACAGGATAATGTCTTTGGTAGACATGGTATTTTGTTAAGTCTTAGGTAGACTTCTATTACTCCACGGGTTGGAGGATTGCCTTTGGTAGGTAGTAGTAGTTATTGTGCACATTTCCTCTTTGGTAAGAGGTTCACCTTTGGCCAGGTGTTAAAAATAGTTTCAAGCCTTTGGTAGGCTGTGATGTCCTGTGATGTACATTTACATATGGGAGACGTCCCTAGATCCCTCTTTGGTAGAGGTTGCCTTTGGTAGGTTGTAAAACAGATTTCCAGTCTTTGGTGGACTGTGGTATTTATTTAACGTAGATGTCAATTTGGCAGACTAAAATGGTTTAAAAAAAAAAAGGGGGTTAAAAGGTATGATGGATGTTTGGCATTACTCCGGCTTGCTAATTTATGTGCTATTTTATGATGTGCAACGCTGATTTTAAGCATAAAGTCTTAATTGAGGGAATGTCAAAAGTACATGTAAAGATGATGAATAAGAAAAACTAGAGGTTATTTAAGGGGGGCTACAAATTCTAGAACTAACATGATTTCTCTGCATGTATGTTTGTTTGCATAATGAGCCCCTTATTTTTATACTTGGTCAAAAGTACTATAAGCCCACTACACTTTTTCATGAGAGTGGGATGTATGATTGTTTATATGATGAGCCCTTTATTTTCATATTGGGACAAAAAGTCACTTCATTCAAAACGTCAAACACCACATTCTTTCTGCCCTGAGTGTTTGTTGCAGAGAACTTATGTTGTAAATTTAGATGATTATGAATTAGAGAGCAAAATTTATATTTTCAGCGTTCCAACACATGCTTCATATTGTGCTGTAAGCTAACTTGTAGTATTCCAGTACGTCACATGTTGTATGTGCTTTAAATTGTATGTATTCTGTAAATTATTGTATGGGGTTGCTGAGATTTTATTGCTTGCGACCCAAACTGTGAAGAAGTGGGTTTGAAATTTTGGTCATGGAATGTAGGATCAGAAAACCATGGACAAAGGTTTTAACCTGTGTTGATATGACTTTTGGAAACTCAAATTGACCGGTCAAAATTTTGCCATGCCTTTAACATGGAGTAGTATAAATATTTTGAGTCTTTGAGAGTTCTGACAAATGCAGGTGATACCATGTCTGTGTAATCTGGTCCAAATGTTCTATAAGCGTATAAGAGAGAAATTCCATTGACAGGTTTCATATGTCGCAACTGGTTAATGCAACTGTTATACAAATGTTTAAGTCAAACGTGTTATATGGCCGTACGGGATCCCTTCTTTAAAAAAGAAAAAAGAAACCCTTTGGTACCAGAAATCTTAAATAAATCCAATACAAACTAAAATTGGTATACCTTACAATAATATGTTCTGAATACAGCTGTTAGAAGTTTATTCTGTGTGAATGATGATTGTCATAAATGTTTGTTTTGGGTACTCATTTTGAAGTGCGCAGTTTAATTGTCATGTATGTTAATGGGTATTTTACTGTGTTATTTTAAATTATATTTGAATAAGTTTGAGTATCAGTATTGATACAAATGGAAATGGCAGCGTAATAATCTATTAAATAACTGATTTATTAGAGAATACTAGTCCAAGAGCAATATGAGTTGTAGTCTTAAGAAAGAAAAAAAGGAGGGAGTCTGTTTTTGTAAATTTTAGCTGATTTCCAAAATTCTGTTGCAATAATGGACTTCCTGCCAAAATTTGACTTTCCTGTCCAGTTGCCAGGTGCTCTGATCTAATCTTAAAGCAGTACTGCTTGCATAGTTTGCAGACATGCATAATGCACAAATATGAGAACCAAATTATGTCCGTCACATAGTGTGACATTTATTAATTTATTTTGGATTGAGTTAATTACCTGTCCAAGAATATGCTTTTTGTATTGGCATGTCTGCTGGATATCTGCTACATGTTTTCTGTGCTATAAGATGATGTGTGATATTACAATGAGTATGAAGAATATTTAAAGAATATTTGCATGTCATTAACGCAAGCCTTTAGTGTCTTTTTACAACAGATTTAAAAAAACGCTGATCAGCCAACAAGAAAGGGGCCCCTGGGAAAGAAAAAGAATAAATATATAATTTGCTTTTCAAAATCGTGGATCCACGTTTCAGTATTATTAGGGGAGTATTTAGAGTTAACGCTACTTTTAAAGTGCATTGCATTATTTAAGAAAAGAAAAATGTGTTATGTTATATGGTTATATAACAAGAAAAATTATGGATGTATAGGATAGGTTTTTTCCAAGATTAAGATTCATCTAGTATGCCTCATTGATTATAGGAAAATGATGAAATGGTATTTTTAATAGAGATCAGATAATTTCTTTTGAGGCAATTCTAAACTACTGTATTATATTTGTATTGGTATATTGAAAGCATTTTGCAGACCCAGAAGAGAATAAATAATATAATAATTATAAAAGGAACCATACTATGGGAAGAGGTCACCCTATTAAATTGCTAAGGGGTTAAACTCATTTTGATAAGCATATGAAATTTAGTTTTTGTGGTTAGAATTTTTGATACTCAATTTGAACTCAATTGAAGTATTACAACCATATCCTTGCAGGTATAGGAAACAGCAATATGCAATATGATTTTAATATTTGCAATATATTAGTGTTCTGACAATGGAAAAGTTCCTAACCGCATGTCTGTATTACACCTATGACACAGACTGTCAGTATTGCAAACCCTATATGAAGACTCTGCTTTCACTGTTTATGTATACACCCCTAGACAACCGTGCTATACATGCACAATAAATCTTCAAAAGCCTATTAATATTATATCTGTGTGGTACACAAATAGGTGTACACAAAGAGGGGGTGTGAGTTAGGTCATCTCGACCTTCATATGGAATATGCTTCCTCCTTGTTCACTTTTGGTCAAACTGTTGGTCTGTGACTGGCCCTCTTTGAACTGAATTTCTTGGGAAGATTCATGAGAAAGATACAGCAGGTTGTTTTGGATATAAAGAAAGAGGGAAAAGTATGTTGTATCGGTCACAAAAGGATTGTGATCTTAAGCAGGCGAGACAAAGAAAGTTTGGAGGTGATAGATTGAATCAGAAAAGTTTTAGAGGCAGAGGTAGAGAATTTGATCAAAGGATTTAACTTTTGTAGAGATGGTAACTTCAGTACTGTTTTAATTGTGGGTAGCAGGGATTCACCCCAAGGTGCTTGTGTTCTCCTGGCCCAGCTGGCATTCAAGGACTCCCACCCTGGCAGGTTCCTCAATACCAACCACAACTTTCAAGCTATACCCACACCCAACAACCTCAGCCTAATACACAGATGGTTCATGTTTTTAATACTTTATATATAGTTTTGATAGATAAAACAGTATTAATGCTGGCTCTTAGAGGATGTACAAGCTGAAGTTGGGACCTAGACATTGTTTGCATAGGCTGTGCAATGTGAAATAACTAAAATAAAATAGGATAATAAGTATGCTTAGTCAATTTGTAAAGTGGTATAATAGAGGCATCTGCAATAAATTAAGTGGGTTTCCAAGACCTGACAAGTGAGAGCAACTTAATATAACATATGCCTACAGTTTGCTGTCCCTTCCTTATCAGAGGCCACTTGCAACACAGCAAGACAACTCTTCCGAAACCTGTATTAAACAAAGCACTTTAGAACAATAGTAATTTATTTTGTTTCTCCTATTTCATTCCTAGTTGTTCTGAAAAAAATATATTGTTTAAGTGGGATAACTGTATGGAGGTTCCAACATGTATTAAAACATGATCACACACATCGGGATCTATAAAAGGTTTTGGTTTCCAAAGATGTTATCAGGGTCCACAAAATTTTATAACTGTATGGAGGTTCCAACATGTATTAAAACATGATCACACACATCGGGATCTATAAAAGGTTTTGGTTTCCAAAGATGTTATCAGGGTCCACAAAATTTTATTAAAGTAATTAATTGAGATTATCAAATCAAGGTTTAAGTTTAAGAACAGCATTTTATTGGGAATTATACCAATATGTATATGTTAGTGTTTTAGTACTCAACAAGCATTTATATAGAATGAGTGCTTCTCTCATCCATACAAGGCATTCTAAAGGGAAATTATGTATTAAAATTTTATAAAGGACATAAACAAAACTGAGAGACGTACATGTTACACTAGTTAAGAGTTTAACTTTAGTCTCTAATTTGAGTTTAGCCTAGATAATTAATTTATTGATGCCGTACTGATCCTTGTGTTTGTATGATTATAGAGACCGTACTGGAGTATTTGTGCTGCCTGATATTTGGGACTACACACCAATCTCTCTGGCTGACCTACCTGCCTACTTACCTTTTTTGCAATTAAATCTGTTTGGTCAAAAACCATGCTGGCCGAAGAAACTGAGATGTTTACTTATGAGGACATAAACTAACTTGGAAAGTCCTGAAGATGCAGTGCTGTCTAATGCCGCTATTTCTGTATTACCCTTTCAACAATTGGGGTGTTGCACAGAGTATTGTGGTGAACATCCAGCAAACAGAAGAATTAAGAACTATGTGGAAGCTGACATTGTCTTGTTGTTGCCATATTGCTACACTTAGCTATGTTATGGTGTCTAAGATTATGGAACAAAGTTTATGGTGTCTAAGATTCTTTATACT